ATAGAACTATTTTTGTTTTTCCTTAAAATTATATTTATATCTATTATATTTATTTATATATTATGTTTATTCAAATAAATTGCTTAATTATCTAGCATTTGATTTAATAGCCCTAACTTAGTAGCATCCACTATAACAGCCTTTTTTAAATTTAAAAAAAAATATTTTTTAGACTATATCCTATATATAAAAAAATAGATCTCGAAAATTAGGCGAATTCAACGATAAAAATATAGCCATTTTTAATGTAAAATTAAAAAATTGTGAAAATTTTCACAAAAGTTATGCAATTCTTAAAACTTCTGAGTAATGAAACTTTGAACATTATTACATCAAAGAATTTCCACCAAGCCATACGATCGCATATTTTAAATAAATAAAATAATATTAAAAATTTCCCCTAGTTTCAGTGACAGTTTATAATTTAAAAAACGTATTAAAAATCTTATTATAAACGGTTAAAATATCATAACCAAGTATTCTTTAGTTGGGTTCCCAAAAAGGAGCTATAGTTAAATTTAAACATATCAATTTACATTATTTTTGCTGTAGAAAGAGAAAGTCACTTGGTTCATTAGTAAATATCTTGATTTTTGAGCATAAAAGTTTTAAAAATTCGATTTTTTAAATATGATTTTATTAGTTGATTCTCTTAAGATCTAATAAAACAATCTAAAATTATGAAGAAAAAAAACAATTAAAAAGTCATTTTTAAAACTGATAAAATAATATTAATAAATATTAAGCAGTAAAACTTTAAATGCTTAAAAATGAAACTCTTCCTAAATATTGGAATGAAAATGAGATATTTTTAGCTCTTAATTCGCTAGCTTAGAAGATATTTAAATTTAATTTGTCATGAAAGATTGTGTTTAGTATACTAATTACCATTTAATTTTGATATATTGTTGATATGATACAAAATGACTAAATCGAAGAAAGGGCAAACTTCCCTAGAAACATTAAACTTTAATACATGTTTTGCATAAAAATTTGGTAAGCTTTTTATCATGATCTTTTTCTTCGGCGAATAAATGGTACCTATCTATAATAATTATAATAATTTTTAATAATTATTTAAAAATTAAGAAAGTTGATTAGAATTGAAAAATTTTCGATTAAAGTAAAATATGTATACTAAAATTGTACAATAATGAAGAAGCCCACCCTAAAGCTCTCAATGATCTATAAATTGTTATGGAACCTTTGTTAAGTATCATAACCACGGACATAGACAATTCAATTTAATTATTAAATATCTAGAATTTTCTAAGGCAATTATCGAACATTCTAAATCTAAATTGTTAAAAGTTCTATTCCTATTACTATCTATAAAATATTGATTTATATGTGTTTTAACAAGATTCATAAATTATTTTAAAAAAAAATTAATATAGAGATAGATAGTGCAATATAATTTATTGTTTTGTAACTAAATTGTCATAGAAACTCAAACTGATCATGCAGGAGATGCAATCTTTAATATATCCGACAAAATGACATGCATAACTCGAGGAATTGAAATCTATTTTGGTATGGTTCCCCGGATCATCATTAATTTCTATTATAAGATTGGGATCGAATAGATTTGTATTTTTATACATTATGGCTTCGATATTGTTAATAAACGGTTCTGTCAGTTTTGCTAAAAATATTTCTAAATCATACATTTTATGACATCTTGATGTAATATCTGACAGTTCTTTCATCCATTTATTTTCCGTTATTATATAATAATCAAAGGTGGGAGCTATGGGGAATAGAGTTAAAATTTATGACAATTAATATAGTTAAAAATATAAAATATTAGAGATTTTATAGAATTGGATTTATAAGAGTTAGTCAAAATTCAGCTACACCATTATCCTGTATTCAAAGTTAGCACGAATTCGCGGCGAAATATACAAAATATGCTGTATTTGTGTATATTTTTATATACTTCGCCACGAATTCGCGCTAACTGTGAATGTAGGGTAAACTACCATTGGTACATAACATATTCCTAGGTATTCTAGAAAGCTATACTTGATCAATCTGAGAGTTGGAGAATCTCAGAAAATTTAATTTAAAAAGTGTTTTTGAAAATTATGATGCTCTTTTATGATATTAATTTTTTTAATTCTAAAATTTAAACATTTAAATGTTTTTTAAATAATATAAATCTTTACCTTTACCTTTTTAATTTTAATGTATATTATCACTATGTCTAATTTATGATGTAAATAGTTATATAAATATAAAGGTTTAATAAATTAAAGATTTTATATAAATTATGCTTACAAAACGAAATATATTTTAAATATAAATATTGATAATTATATAATAGTATATTAAAAATCTATGAATTTTAATATTCATTCATATCAATGGGGGAAGAAATCTAAATGGAGTGTATAAAGTATCTACATTAGTATATTTCCACAATTTATTTTGAATATAATGTTATTGGTAAGTTGTTAGACATTATATCTATATGGCTTAAAATATATTTAAATTAACCGGAATTATTACATTGGGTAAAAATTTCAATATGCAAACTCAAAATTAAATTTTTAAATATTAATTCTGTGTCCTTTGAATAATTTCATCTTTTGGGTAAGCAATAAAATAAAAGAAAGATATTGAATAAGATTTTACTTAAAGATTTATCGTATATTTCAAAAAAAACTTGAATCTCTTGTTCATTCATCACCAAATCGATATATGAAGAATTTGGCAAATATTTCTATTGTGAATTTAATTTTTGAGAAAAAAAATATGACTTAACATTTCACAACCAAATTGTGTAAGATTTATAGTATATGTTTTTTACACGTGTTAGAGTATATTTTCGACAAAATCTGACTTTCAAACTTAAAAAAACCCCTAATTGATCATTACGCTATTTATTAACATTAGTTAATTTATTAAGCCCATTTTATAAATGTGAAATATCTGATTTTCCCGGAAATGCTATTAAAGGAAATATTATAATAAATTTAAAACATAAACATTTACTAGATTTAAATAATTACTTTTAATTAAATCAAATTATTTATATTTATTTTAACGGTCATAAATTTTAAGCAAAAAATAAAGACTTACATTTAAGCATTGAATTGATTTAAGAATTTCCAATGTTTGATATGATTTTGTAATCAAAATTAGGATAAGATTTTTGAATAACATATCAGAATATAATCCATCGCACAAATTCAATCAATTAATACTGATATAATAAAGAACATTTCTTTTTTAAATTTTAGAATTTATATTTTTTAATAAAAAGTAAAATAAAATTATGGTTTCCTGCATTCTTTTAGATATCTTATTATTCCTTGAAATAATAGTTATATCATACAATAATATACTAGAGCCAACAAAACTGTCTAAATCACCAAATAAGTGCAACAAACCTATAAGACTATGAAAATTATGAAAATCTTTAAATTTTTAAAGTGCAAATATATTTCTTTATCGGATCAAGGCTGACCTCTCCTCTGTAAAATAATAATTCACCGGGTCAGACAATATTTTTTATCTCCTGTTTGGATCTGCAAAATCAGGTTGGATGTATAGCTCCATTTATCTATCCATGACACTATAATATACAGAATAAAAAACCAAATCAAATATATTATTAGTATTCTATGAATAATGCAATATTATTTTGAACTAGAGAACTTAATGTTTGTTTATAATAATATAAGAGACTTTCTTTCTAGCATTAAATTTCACTTAATTTGTATCTTCTATGTTAATATAATATTATTGACTAAGCTTTTAGTCTGGAAAAACTAGGAATGTTAAAACATAAAACAAAGAGAAAACTAGCGAAAAATTATTTAAATGAAATTTTTTTAACATGAATTTTGGAAAAAGAGAACTTCTTAGACTTTTAGTTGCATTATGGGTCTCGATAGCTAGCTTTTAATGAGCGTGGCTGAGTTTACTTTAAATCAAGGAAGCATTAACGTCTGCATAGCTTCTAGGAAGTGTTATTTAAGAGGTGATATGGTAAAATAAATATTCAGGGCTAATATTTATTGGGGGAAGGGGATAGGGTTTGAAGGCCATGTTTGTGGGTCCATAATTTTTATTTTAATAAATTGATACCTTAAAAAATTAACGTTTTTTAAATATAAGTTGATAAGATAAATATCTTCATACTGACTTAGAATACCCAGGGATGTGAAACAAAATAGGGTTCAAGAGTTTCATGTTAAAACTACAGGCAAAACAGGAACTGATTTTTAAACAACACTTCGAACTCTGGGTAATATGAACCCAAGCGGGTTCAGACCCTTTTAGAAAAATAAATTTGATTATGTTCCTGTTATCATGTTTCTTTCTAGTTTAAAATTCCTGAACACTATTTTGGTTCACTATCATATTGTATATTTTTAATTTAACGTGATTTTTAAGATATTTATATAAATAACAAGTTATTAGTAATGTATTTAGAAAATATAGTAATTATAGTTAGAAGTTGATTATATTATTTAATTATGCCTATCCCTATTAGCGAGATTTATAACATTTGCAAGTAATTGCAAGTAAAAAAAACAAGTAGTGAATAGTTTGATATGTCAAAAGTCAATATAAATAAATGAAATGGTAATAAAGGCAATTAAATTTGGTAAATGTAAATGCTCACCATTTGTTTAATCGTTTTTTGCATCTTAATAATTTGATTTTGCCAATATTTATAGACCTATCCGATTTCAAGGTAACATAATACAACAAATGAATAAAATTTGAGCTAATCACCAAAATAAAATAAATATGGGATATTTGGGATTTTTTTCTTGTTAAAACTTTTATTCCTATATTTAAATTCAAATTTCTAAGATGTATATTTTACTAAAATAATAATATTATTATAAATATTTCACAAATATGAGGTATCATAATCTATATATTATCTAATTTTATAAGTTATCTAATATCATACAATTTATTAAAAATATATTAATTTATAAAGTAAAAATAAATATATAAGGCGGTAAATATTTTGAATTTCAAATGTTAGACTGTATCCAATCTAAAAACTTGCCAACATCAGTATAAACGCCTGGATATCCCGGTTCCCCGCAACCCACTCCCCAGCTGACAATTCCTGTCAATTCCCAATTTGTTCCAATTTTACAAGCCATAGGACCTCCTGAATCTCCCTTTAAATAAACAAAATATTATATTATTTTTTTTAAAAAAATAATAAATTCGATTTTTATAATTGAGAATTTTTAACTTGACATGAATCCTTTTTGCCATCCGATACTCCAGCACATATCATATTATCATCCACGATCCCCATGACATTTTGACACTTCACTTTATTGACTATATTTAGACACACCTCACGCAACCGATTAAACATAGGTAAAGATAAATCTATATTTTATTTATTTATTTTTAAATTAATGATGTTTATATATAATCGAAATGGCCCGATTAAGATTTTAGTCAAAATAATACTTTCTACCATCTATGAGCAAAATCTCCAGGATTAATTAATATTATTTTGGCAATCTTAATCCGGCCGTTTTTAAAAATTCCTAAATATGGCTTTTTAGCACTAATCGAAGCATATTTAATTAAATTTGAAAACTTTTCGTATCGCCCCATCCAGTTACATAACAGCCATATCCATCTTTGACTCTTTCTTCGGCACTGGGTAAGCATATAGGTTTGATCGCGTCACTGTAATCCACTAAGCTTTCTAATTTTATTATACTAATATCGTTTTTGACAGTTGTCGCATAGTAATTCGGATGTTTAATTACAGATTTGGCAGGAATTTTCACGATATTTGGATCTTTAAAATTATTACTCCCAAGGTATATAACTAAGTCTTCTGCAGATCTTTTTTTAAAAAATATATGATTTAGATGATCATAAATCTCAAATATCAATTTAAAATTTTATTTTAACCACTGATTTTTGCGAAAAATTTTTCATTATAACAGTAAAATTAAATGTTATACAATCTGATTCTCGTTTTTTCCCTCTCTTCATAATTTTGTTTTCAAGAAAATAAAATATTAAATAATTTTATATAAATTTTTTTTTTGGGGGGGGGGCATAAATTTATGGAATCTATCTGAGTGTGATTTTTTATTTAATACATGTTGACAGTGCAATGTGCGGCGGTCAATATAGTGTCCCGATTAATTAGAGTCCCTCCACAAAATGGTTGTCCATAATAAGTCAACGCTACCTATAAGATTGTTTATTTTTAATAATTTAAAAAATATATATATAATTCTAATGATTTTTTATCTATAAGCTTAAACGAACTTGCCACGGCCAGGATAAAGGATTGGATTCCTGTCCCCCAAGTATAGATTGACTTATTTTGGAACAGTCAGGAGCAGCAGGGACTTGTTTCGTAACACCACACGTGCCTTCTTGCTCGAAATGTATATTAGCTGGGGTTGTTGGCTTTATAGGATCACATTGATTTGGTATTCTTATGGTTTGGGAAGCTTTCATTTTTTTTAAGAAACATTATAGTTTATAAATTAAAAGTTTTCCCAATATAAAGCACTATTTAATATTTTTTTATTAGTTAATGAAAGTATTATTCATACCTCTATAAAATTTCTCATTTATAGATTTTGCAAAAAGGGTCACTCTTATAGACAAATAAAATAAGATGTAAATTTGATACATTTAAATTTTATTTTTTTTAGGTTAAATGTAAATAAGCATATAAATTAAAGATTACTTTTCCCTAGATATTATAACTTTTGCCAATATATTTTTTAAAATTTTTGTAAAAAATTTACCCCCAAAAATGTGTAAAAAAGCAATATGTTCAAACATGATTTGATAAAATTGGCTTGTTTAAAGATCGATATCGCTTATAAAGCCAACATCGTATAGTATATCATACATATACCTTTCATATATTTTTTAAATTAGTTGGAAATAGACTATCAATATTGTATCCAATTTTATTCGTGGTATAATAGTAATGATCAATTTTATTGTAATATCTAAATATAGTAGCATATTATCTTCCCCATAATTTGGAATTATAATAATTTTAATGGATTTTAAATGTAGAATAATTATTTGAATACTATTTTTCATTTTAAACTAGATTACATATTTCTGACAAATCACCAAAAAATACGATTTTCAACCCTACCCCTTCAAACAAATTTTTATTAGAGTTTGTACAAATTTTAATTAAGATAAAAATAAAATTTTAGTATCTAGCTCCAAACAGAGGCTGAAATATGGGCCTCTAAATGTCGAAAAAATAGAGCATTTTGTGTGATGTACATTCAGGGGCGGACTGGCCATAAAACCGGGGGGGGGGAGGGCATTTTGCCCACGAGGCCGCGAGAAAATGTTTATTTTTGAGGCCGATCAGAAGAAATTATCAAAAAAGAGGCCGATTAGGAAAAAATATTATTATGTTCACATTATTTTCTCTTATCATTTATTTATTTTTAAAAATATCTCTATGATTTTAAGATCACATTCCTTGAAAATTGTCATATATTTTAATACATAAAATATCAATAACGTCGCTTGACGTTATACATCATTACCATGTTTCTTTGTTTTTTTTTCAAATGAATGAAAACGCTTCCGTTTGATTAGGGTAAGCTAAGCTTTGATTAATTTATTATATTATATTTTTATACATTGCTTTATTGTAGAAATAATATAGCCAACATTTCTTGTTCTTAATTAATTGAAATCAAATAAAATACAGGTCGGTGAATCAGATAAAAAGATGGAGGCTTGAGTGAAACAGAATAATTCATCTGGACAAAATAAGTTGAGAAGGCTGCAAAAAATAGGTTAGATAAGGTAGTGGGGCACTTGAAAAAGCCCTTAGATGGATATATGGTAAAGATAGCATGCTCCTAATAACGATAAATGCACTTCAATTTATATTGGATAATAAATCATTTGAGGAAAACTTGTTAATTTATGTAAATTTAAGACTCTATGTACAGCTATAATATATTTGGAAATTTTTGAAATAATGAGCTGTCATATCTTCAAACTAAAAATTGGGGTACTTTGTCAGCATGGAAAATGATAGATGCTAAGTCTTCTATATCATCGATTATTACATCGATTCAAAATAAAGCAATAAAATGGCTTCTAATTTATATGAAACACTTCATATTTAAAGCTCCCGGAGAGTATCAGGGTACAGAATGCTCTGCCAAAAAATTGAATAGGACGAGCGAAGATAATATATAGTGACAAATGCCAAGATGAACGTCCTCAAGAATCGATTGACCTTTACAATATGATAATAACTTAGAGTGTGATAATAAATGTAACAAGTGTTTAATATGCGTGTATGAAATTCTTAAAAGATACAATATGAATACAAGTGACACTAATTTATTTTGCATATAAATACATATTAACTTTGTCATTTACGCAGGTTAATTGCGAGAGAACATTTAGTAAATTAAAAATTATAAAAATAAGCTGAGAGCTAATATTGACCAAGAAAAATTAGAAGCGTTTTTAATGATGTCATTTGAACGAGAACTATTAGCGCAGATTGAACTAGAAGATATTCCTGTATATTTCTGCAAAGTTTCAAAGTTAATGAGAGAATTATTAATGTAAAAATTATATATTTTCTTTATTCTTTTATTTGAATCTTATTAATATCTATTTACAATATGATCGGTGGCTGATTTTATAAGTGCAGCAATTTTATTCTCTGTAATATTGTATAACTGCAATAATTTTATTCATTTATATAACTGCAATAATTTTATTCATTTATATAACTGCAATAATTTTATATGTGTAATTAATTGATTTGGTGTATTGAGTATCTATTTTTTTTCCAAAATGGGGGTATGGGGGCGAAGCCCCCATATAAATGAGGCCGCTATAAAAAAAATGCCCACGAGGCCGTAGCGTCGCCAGTTCCGCTCCTGTGTACATTTTATAATTTTGTATATCTTTGGATTTAACTTTTTTAAATATAACTTAATGATAGGTTTTTAAAGTGAAATAATTTTAATATTGTTAAAATATTGTAAAAAAACCGGAAATGGAAAAACAAAAATCATCGTAAAATTACATCGGTAGTTTTTTCCTCTCACTTTTTTTTTTCAAAATCAGTTCATTTTTTATTTTTAAAAAAATAACTAATATTAAAAAATTTACATATAAATCTATATTTTAAAATAGAACATGAAAAATATTTAAAAAAGAACAAATATATTAAATTTAAGAAAAATAACATATTAAAAAATTAAAATATTTTTAAAAAAAGGAGTATTAATTATATTAAAAATTCAGGCCAAAAAATTTTAAACATAAAATAATTGGACCGAATTATTGTAATAGCTCTATTTTGTTTAAGTTTATAAAATGAGGAGATATATATTTTTTTCTTTATGGATTCAAAAGGTTTTAAAAAAAATTAAGAACAGCTTGCCCGAATAAGCAGAATGATGTAGCTGGATAATCACCCATCAGGTAGGAATATTTTTGGCATTTTAATGAATTAACCCTGAGATGAAGGTCATGTATATTATTTGAAGATTTTGTTTTGTCGAATAATTTTTGATATAAATTTACAATGGAGCGCATGGCGACAAAAGTCTTCGAACTGATTATATTTGTCGAAAGTGTAATAGTTTAATAATGCTATGTCCAGGCGCAAACTGGTTGCATAAAGAAAAGAGTCGTCATCTATTAATGATTATTTAAGATAGGGTAACAATCTAGCCATTCATGGCCGGAGTTGTTGAAATAAAGTGTTCCGAGGAAAAATTTGTATTGATAATCATCGCTCAAGTTGAGGTAAGCGAAGTAACGAAATACTAATCTTAGATCTACATCTTTTTGCTTTAATGAATCTGGTTGAGGTAAATTTGGCAAGGCAATGATGTTCCAGCAATTTAAGACTTCGTTCATCCTATCAATATCAATTACAATTATTTGGAAAATGATGTGTTTTAAGGAATTTTGTAGAAGATATGAAGGAAATAAGGGGAATAATAAAAGCAGATCGCAGTCCTAAGCCTCCCGATTCGCAGGGAATAGTTGCATGAAGCCAGGAGTTAGAATCGAATTTGATATTTAGTGACTCTAGCTTCATTCTTAAAATGTTTTATTCGTATTCTTTTAAAAAAGTTTCAAACGCGAAATCACCTAAGGTTTAATCAATATTAAATTTGCGGAATTAAAAGGGCATTTTTGAGGATAAAATAAGCTTGAGGGTAATTTATTTAAAACTGGTGGTCTGAGGAATATAATTGCAGGTGATATTTTAAATTTGAAAACTCCTTCTCCTCCTAACTGGGCTCCTAATATAATAAAATATTACAGGGGTGTTTGTCGAGGAGTTAGTAGGGGGTGGGGATGAATAAATTTCATATTTTTTGATATTTAAGGATAAATTGAGTTTATCAAAATGTTTATAATTATATCAAGGCATTGCTGAATTGGTGAAAGGGTCCCCGAAATCTGCAATCGTCTAGATACCAAACATGTAGAATGAGTTTGAACGAAAGAGCGATGTCACTAATAAGGTGTTTAAGAGTGTAGCAAAAAAGCAAAGGTCCTAATGGATCTCATTGCTGAAGGCCCTCAGCCGATTTAAGAATAAAATCGTTAAACCTAAGTAAGAAAAGGATTCTGTCAGGGAAAGTTTTTAAGAAGTAGTTCGATCACATTGAATTAAAATCATTGGATATGTAATACAATAAATTCTTCTTTGAAGTTGAAAAAAACTAATCGACTGCAGTGATTTGCGGCTCAGCCTTCTTTTACTCCAAAACCAACTTGGAGAGGGGTGAACTTGAAGCTATGGTGAACTTGAGGCAATTACAAATAATATTTGGAATAGCTCAACTGTAGAAAATTCTATTAGCCATTGGATACTTGGTTTTTAGATTTTTCAAGTGCGATTAATCGAGCACTAAAGATTTCTGAATCAAGATTATGTGGCAATTTTCCACTGATAGGGAGGGGGTATATTTTGGGTCTGGATGTGTTTTTTAAAAGTTGGTTTTTCATGCTTTTGTTGTCATTTGCCAAAGAGTTTTCACTGCAAGAGCTTAGGAGGGCTCCTTTGAGTGAAATTGATTTTACTATATATTAGTGTGTGTTAGAGGTTACTTGAAGATTTATTGGGAGGATCGATGATGTGTGGTGATAAGTTTTCAAAATTAATGTCAAAATTTTTAATTCCCTTAATGGTTTGAAAAAGTACTGTAGAAAATTCTAAATTTGATCTTTTGGGTTTTGTATAATTTTGTTAAGGGATTTGGTGTAGACAGGGTAAATTAGTTTAAGAGCAGCTTTGGTGTGAAATAGTAGGTCTAAAGTTAGATGTTTAAAATTAGAGATAATCTAAGTCTGGAATAGGATAATTATTAGTGTTATTTTCGGTTATGGTATATCTGCTTGTTGAGAATCAAATAACTGGTAATCATTTGGAATTGAAATCGATTGTGGTAAAGAGGTTCTCGGTGTAATGTTAAGGCTAGATTGCTCCAATATTGTACCTGGGGATATTTCTACCAGGGCACATAGCATCTGTTAGAACTGGGACCTTATTTTGTTATAAGATTATTATTTTTGGTATGTATTGACCTAACAGTATGAACAGTTCTTCTTGTTCATTAGGATATATAAGATATCTTAATAGGTATTAGTCAACCATTTTAAAATTTTATTTTAAGAGGATTATCTAATTTTATTGGTGTTGGAGTAAAAATATTAGTATTAGTTATCTGCATAGGGCCTAATCTTTTAAGCCCAGCTCAAATTTTTTTTATAACTTTATCCGGCCCAGCCCGATTCCATACGAAATTAAATTTTTCCCGAAAAGCCTGACCCGAAATAAATTATTTGCCCTTCCGGCCCGAATTTTTATAAATATAAAAACATAATCTACAATTAAAAATATAGCGCCTTGTTTCTTGCAAGAATTTTAAAATATATCAATAAATTTACAAAATGTAATGATATCTTATTTAAAAATTCGAGCCCTCGGCCCGTACGAAATGTTTTAAAAAAATATTAGGCTCTACCCAACCGAAAATTATTTTTTTTAAATAGGGCTGATGCGAAACCCGTTCCTATTTAGTACTATTATCAGATAGATTCAGGATGTAAATTATAAACTTTGATTTTTTACTACGCAGGATATGGAGTTTGCATATGCAAACAAGTTATTAATATACTCAAAAACTAAAATTTGATCTCTAATTTTGGTGACTTAAAAATATCATTGCACTATAAGTATGAAATGAAAATATAAATTATCTGCTGATTTTGGATTTATAGCTATTAAAAGTTATCAATCATATGAAATATTTATTTTGATCTTTAATTTCGTTATCTCAAAGTTAGATTAGAAGTTTAGGGGATATGATATCGAAATTAATTAATTTTGCATTTATCCCACTAGTAACAAACACCCTTGGGAAATCAAACTAACTTTCTATCATAGTCAATTAGTTTCAATTGCTATATGTCGAAGATTGCATTTCAAGCCATTCAGCGCCATGATAATTAAAACTTTTATTATATTTGAGTTTAATTTTTTTTTTTAGATTATAATGTTTTTTTAAGTCATGTTATTTTTTAAAATATATTAACATAACGAGCAGTATAATCAAAGTGTGACAAAATATACAAAAAAATATAAAATGTAAAAAAATTTTTATAAAAAAATATTTAATTTTTTATATTATAAAAACTTGTAATCTTTTGAGAGAATATTATGGGTAAAAGAATGAGCATGTTTTATTAATAAATAAATAGGAATATCTTTATATATTCGGAATCCCCAGAATTTGCAGTCTAATAATAATTATATCGATTTAAAATATTTTCAATAAAAATTTTAAAATATTTCTAAATTTTTGAAAACTTAATATTTTAAATCAATATTATATATATTATTAAATGGCAAATTTTGTGAGGATTCCAAATATATAAGGGTATCCCTATTTATTTATTAATAAAACATGTTTATTCTTTTACTTATAATATTCGCTCAAAATATTACAAGTTTTTATAAAAAAATGTTTAGAAAAAGGTATATAAATATTTTAAATATTTTAAAATATATAAAAATGTTTAAAAATATATAAAAATGTTTAAAAATATATAAATATTTATAAATTCAAATATTTATAAGTATATATAAAAATATAAAATGTAAAAAAAGTATTTTATATTTTAATATAACCATTTTAATAGGGAAAAACATTATAGGAGATGAATTATTAATGGTTTCACAATTTTATTGTTATATGATTAATTTAATTTTTGTGATATTCGTTTAATTTTTTAAATAAAATTTACTGAATTAAATTATTGCCCTAAAAAAAATTTTTTTAAGTTGCAAAAGATTCATGAAAGGGAAGGGATAATTTATTAGGGGTTAATCGATAAATGTTTTCTTCTGTAGTTGCTACCCTTCCTTTTTTAAACCTATAAAGCTAATAATATTAATTAAAATAGCACAAATGACAAATATTATAATTTTTAAATAAAAACTTATATAATATAGTAGGGAAGAGTGGGGTTAAGCTAGACTGCGTGACAAAGTTAGCGCATACTAGCCTTTTGTTTTTAGAACATAAAGACCATAAATTTAATTTGGAAGATATATTTTATATTTATATGTAATTTCTTACCTATATTCATATTTTGGATAATGTTTCTGGTATGATATATTTTGTTAAATACCATTTTTAACACATTAATTTTAAAATTTACCTTCTAGTATTTTTTTTTCTTTCAGCAAATTATATTGCTCCCAATGATTTAAAATTTTGTGCATAGGTTCCTTAAGTTTTCACTTTCGCTATAAAATTGAATTGATTGGAAGCTTATAGCTAAGCTAGAGGCAGTTGCGTATCCAGGATATATCCTTAAGGAAAGAAGGAGGTGGGGGGTTGAGAAAGAATTTTTTTTTGGGGGGGGGGCGACCCCAAATACGGTTTCGTATAGCCTCGGGTTTTTCTTAATAAATATATTATTGATTGGTTATCCTGAGATCATCTCCCTTAAAGTTTCCTGAACAATTGGAAGCATTATTTCTAAAATAGGTCAATGATCTGTGCTTACTAGTGTCTGATTTTAACTAATATAGTAGCCAACCTAAAGGAAAAAATTATTAGTTAAATAATTTACACCAACATTGCGATTAAAAGCAACTAAAAGCATTGTTCTGAAAATTAACAATGTTTAGTGCCTAATTGTAAATTAATTATATCCTTGGTAGATAGTAGAGAGAAGAAAAAAAATTGCCAAAATTGGCATTTTCTAAATTAAAAAATATTTAAAAAAAACTATATATCTGACGAGGCTAATATATTGTGCTTGACTACCTTTAATTTCTTCTCAATCAAATATGAGAACCACAAAAGGAAACTGTATTATAAACAAAATAAAAATTATTACATCAGGCTTTAAGCGTTAAATGAGACGAGAGTAGGGTTTTATTGTAAAATTTTATTTTTATTCTATTTGATAGATATTTTTAAAGCAGAAAAAAATTATTGGATAAAAAATAAAAAATTATTCAAATCAGGATCATACCAGAATGGGAAATATAAAAGTTATAACTATTTTGTTTGTATTAATATTTAGTGCTTTAATTCTTTAATAAATATACCCAGCCACAAAAAAATTACGAATCACGAACCAAAACTATTATTTAAATTTAAAATCAGCCAATGATGCATTATCTCTTATATTTATGTCAATAATTAGTGCGTATTTCATACTTTTTTAGAGTTTCAACTCTTTTGGTAGTTAGTTCATAGACATTATTGACAAAATGAAAATAGAATTGCCAAAATTGATATCATGCTAGAAGGAAAATTAGAGAAGCAATGAACAATATCAAATGCATGATTAGTACTTACCATTTCATTAATCAATCAGTTTTTTCACTCAAGGAATAAAAACTAGTTTTAAGCGAAATAAAAACTAACACGCTTAGGCCGAGTCTTAAATATTTAATTTTAAATTACTATTCAAAATCAATCATGTCTAAATATATTAAGGTTTATTTTTTTCCGATTAGAAATATTTTTGAATCTTATAATTCTATGATCAGATTTTGTTCTTTTCAATTTATTTAATAGATATAGAGTAAAATAGTTAAAATCTCATAAAATTTCAAATCGAGTAATATTTTCAAAAATTTGATATGAATCTGATATCAAGACGCAACCCTAAGCATGAAATTAACCAAACACTAATTTTAAAGCGCAAATATTTAAGCCTGAAGGTAAACAGTATAAATAAAAAGTTATTAGCATAATGCGAAAATTACTAAAATTAATATTCAAGATAAACCCGAATCTAGAAGCGCCAAAGTATAATAAAAAAAATTTTACCATCATAATGATAAAAAAAAATTTTTATCATCTTTATTTTGCTAGTTCAATACTTTTATATTTCATCGGCTGAATATTATAATATTCTATATCCATTTTTTTAAATTTATATTTTAAAAGGAAATAACACATGCAAATAAAATAATATTCCTAATTATATTTTAATATTTTTATTGTTGATTTGGAAGAACACACTATTGAAAAATTGTTTTTTCGAAAAAAAATGCACTTTGCAAATATATGGATTTAGAACACAATAATACTCAACCGTCGATTTAGTAGTGGTGACATAATAAAAAGTAGTCAAATAGATTTGTGGCATTTTTGGAAAATGTAATACCAAAATAAGATGGGTTTGTTTCGGTAAAATTGAAAACGGTTATAATAGCTGATTTTTTACCCTCGGGAGTTAAAGTTGAGACATTTTTTTAAAATTAAGTTTAATACTAAGTGCGCTTTTACAATTTTAAATAGAAAATGTCAAACCTCGATTCCATGCAAATTATAGCGTCTTTGGGAATAATCCCATTTTCATTTTTTTGTGCCTTTAATATTGTTCATTCGTAGTAGTTTAAGATTTTTTCTAGTGCTGTAAATATTTTTAAAAAAATCAAACGCGTTCGCGTTCAACGTTCATTGACAAAAATCGAACGCGTTCACGTTCAAATTCAAAAAAAGGAACGCGTTCATACGTTCAAAATTTTATGATAAATTTTTTTTAAAATTTAATTTAATATAAATAAATGCCTTATATTTTTCAACACAATATATTAACCATGATAAAAAATAATAGTTTTATTTTGATAATATAATTATAAATACAATATAATAGAGCGATAAAAAAATAAATTTATAAAAAAAATTTCTTATTAATTTTTAATAATTGCTTTTCAAAATTTTCATCTGATAGGCATGAACGCTTGTCAGTTACGACAGCGTTAGCTATACTAAAAACTCGCTCAACAAGGGCAGATGAAGGGATTGCGGTGTTATACTTGATAAACAATTCTTTTAAAAGGGGGAATTTATTAAAAACATTTAATGTTTTATCCATTGTTTCAAAAAATTGAGCTATGTTATCATCCTCCAATCTGCCCTCTTCTTCCTCGTCAAAAAAAAAGGATATCTCGAATTGATTTTAAAACAATGAAATATTTTTGATATTTGGGCCAT